TTTTCTATTTTTTTTCAATCTTTCTTTGAAAAATCTAAAATATGACTGTTTTTATTATAATCAGAAAAAAATGAAATTTAAAAATTGTCTTTAGAACTCGTTATAATGCGCATATTTTGAGCGCATTAAAAGCTTTCCATCTTTTGCATAATTCCAATATAAGTATGGAAATTTGCATTTGTTTAGGCGGGTACAAAACGTTTTTTGTTTTTCTGTAAACACTATTTTTATATACTATTCTGTACCAGGGCAGGGTATGAAAGGGCAGGGCAAGATAAGGCCGGCAAGGCAGGGAAGAGTAGGACGAGGCTGCGCAAGGCCAGAAAGGAGAACGCAAGGAAAGGCAGTGTAGGGTAGCGTAGATGAGGATGAACTAGGGTAGAGCAGGCAAAGTAGAGCAGGTTATTGTAAAGTAAAGTACTAAGTCCAGTAGTACTTTTCATGAAGTTTCCTTTATTGTAATGTAATTTTTGGCTGAAATGTTTGAACTTAAGGGTCCAAGTAGCCAAATAAATGTTATACAAACTGTAGTAAATTAATAGATGGGTTGCTAAATTGAATTTTTGTATATTTGAAAGTGTGACACTATAAAGCAGCTTCTTTGAAAATACATTTTTGAGGGCTTGAAGGGCATTTTTAAGCCTAAAAAGCATTTTTTGCCTAAGATTTGTTTTTAAGCCTAGAATTTATTTTTGAACCAAAATTTTCATTTCTAAGCACAGTTTTAAGTTTGAAATTTATTTTTTGTCTAAAATTGATTTTTAAGCCTAAAGTTCGTTTTTACACTTAAAATTTAGTGTTATGCCTACAGTCTTATTTATAAGTCTGAAATTTCATTTTTAACCTTAAAATTATCTTTTCTTATAATGCTCTTATTTATAGTCTTTAGGCCACCCATATCTTGTTTTATTAAACGATTAAAATGGAAACTTTTAAATCATTACAATGATTAAGGAGTTATTCTAGTTTCGAGTAAGTGCGTCGACTTTTTTTTTACTTTTTGCAAGTTTGAAACGTACGTTTTTCGAGGCGTCTGGCCGCGTGAATTCTGGTTTTTCCGGTTACTTTTGTACAGACATTGCCATTACTTTACATTGCTTTCTACTTTTGGCGTCTTACTTGGAGTTCGAGAAGGAACGTTTTAAAAACGGTAGCTTAGGTTGACGAAACGTGTTTGTTTATTTTATGTTTCACGTTTTTTACGGTGGTAAAATTAGTTGACGACTTCTTAAAAAGTGAAAATTTATGCCTAAAACGAAGTTTAAGTTGAAAACTTAAATTCTAGGCTTAAAAACGAAATTTTAGACTTAAAAATGAAAAAAAAATGAAGTTTTATGCTTGGGAAGCTAATTTAGGCTTTATTTTTTTTTATCAAAAAAATTAAAATGATTTTAAAATTTAAGACTAAATTTTAATTGTTTAGATAACAATTTTCGACAAATTTCCCATTTTCATAATCTTAAAGTTCACATTTACGCATGTGCTTATGTTTGTTTTGACTGATAAAGCCGAAAACGTGACTTGTAGTCCAGTTGATTGTTTAAAGTAAACTTATTTTTCTTATGAATTCTTTTTAATTTTTAAATTCATTAGTTAGAGGTCTGGAAGGCAAGAATTTGATTTTTTAACCATATTTTTGGGTTTAGGCTTAAAATTTACTTTAAAAACAAAGATTCGTTTTAAGCCTGAATTTTGTTTTACGCATAAAATTCGTTTTTAAATTTTATTTTTAAATCTAAAATGTATTTTTAAGCCTAAAATTCATTTTAAGCCTAAAATTCATTTATATCTTAAAATTAGTTTCGAAATTTAAATTATTTTTAAACCCATAAAAAACTAATTTTTAAGAGCCTCCAAATTTATTTTAGACCTAAAATTTATTTTTAGCCTAGAATTTTGTATTCTAAAGTTTCATTTTAAGTCTAAATTGTTTTTCTAAGCTTAAATTTAATACTACACAACACCTATTTTTATTCAAAATCCATATTTTTCAAAAATTTTTGAAATCTGTGTTGTACGTCGATCCATGATTCTCCACTTGGGAGGGCTCGTCAGCTGTTGCGCAATATAAACGTATCGGACGATCACTTTTGGGGGTTTTTTATGCGAGACAGTGTCGTCGTTTTTTACTAGTTATTTGTCCGTAAAAGGTCAAGCGCACGAACTTTTCTCCATTTCAGACTTTTTTGATTGAAGTTTTGAACACGTTTGATTTTAGGGGTGGGAGGTACCCAGGAAATTGGTGCATCAGAAGTTCCGGGGAGAGATGAATTCTGGGGAAGGGGGTGATCTTGGTAGAAAGGGCTGAGGGCTTGGATATTGTATGTTAGGGGCAGGGACGTCGTTTGGGGGAGGGGAAGGGGGGGGGGGGGGTACCCCCCTCCCACAGAGCCGATCCGAAAAAAATTCCACAGAGCGAAAAAACGAAAAAAAAATTTTTGAAAAATCGGTCCACTACCTGTGGACGAAAATTTTTTTTTGACCTTCCTTTCCCCCAGAGAAAATCCGTAGCGACGTCCCTGGTTAGGGGTATATTATAAGCGTAAGGGTAGGGGTATTGGAAAATGTAGGAGAAAGTTATGGTAGGGGTAGAGGAAAAGGTAAGGGCATGGCATTTTAAGCGTACAGTGTGGGAAAGACATCACATCATGGAGTAGGCTGGGCTATATAAAGTACGGTAGGATAGGGTGGTTCAATGTAGTGTAGGGTAGGATAAGGCAGGGTAGGGCAAGGCAAGGCAAGACAAGACAAGACAAGACAAGACAAGACAAGACAAGGCAAGACAATGGAAGGCAAGGCAAGGCAAGGCAAACTACCAAAGTGTTTTAAGTTTTATCTGCTAAGGGTAACACTTCCGGCCGTGCCTTAAAACGCGTAAATAAATGTTGTTTTCAATTTTCCTGTCAAGTGAAGACAACTTGTTACAAAAACATCTCAAAACGAACGGTGTTCAAACCTGTATGATGTTTCGCTCCGCCTCTTGCATTTTAATTTTCAGTTTGAAAAGTTGGTTCATTGAAAAGATCAGTGTAAATAGATAAAGGAATGCGAGGGCAACTTGTTGTTGACTGTTTATGCTTTTATTTTGTTTTTTAAATTTTTTTTAAAAATGTTTTAATATGAATTAGGCTTGTAAGGATTAAAAGGGGGGGGAGGGGGGTTGTTTTAATGTTTTTTTGTTTTAGGGTATGCTTATATGTACATTATAGCTATATTTTTAATTCTAAAATTTACTTTAAGCCTAAAATTTGTTTTTTAGTCTAAAATTATTTTATAAGCCTAAAATATCATTTATAAGCATAAAATTTGTTTTTTAGCCTAAATTTAATTTATAAGCCTAAAATTAATTTTTAAGCCTAAAATTTATTTTTAAACCTAAAACTAAATTCAAAGCTTACATCTTCATTCTCTCCATTTCAATGAAGGTATATTGCTTATCTGTGAATGCCCGCTTCTCCACCAACTCCTCAATTTTATTCCGATTTTTTACCTTTCTTGACCTTGCGCGCTCCTAAAAAAGTCAAGACTCCTCCTTTCCGATACAACAACATTTTTGGGCTGAAGGTTGGCAGGTCATCTGCTTTTCGTGTAACCCGGCGGAGTAGCCGGTCTCAGCTGTTTTTTTAAACATTTGCTTGTGTATTTTATTTTTGTTTCATATAGGGTAGTACTAGATCTATAGGGCTTTTTATTGTAAGGTAGGTTTTTATTGTAGGATTGTAAGGTAGATGTTTTGCTTACAAATGAAAGTTTAGAATTAAAAATGAAATGTTAGGCTTAAAATGAAAGTTTAGGCCTAAAAATGAATTTTAGGTTTAAAAATGAAACGTTAGGCTACAAAATGAAAGTTTAGGCTTAAAAATGAAATGTTAAAATTACAAATGAAATTTTAGGATTAAAAATGAATGTTTAGGCTTAAACTGAATTTTAGGCTTAAAAATGATCTTCAGGCTTAAAAATAAATTAAGCCTTGTTTAGAAATCTTATTTTAAGTTTAAAAATTGATTTTCAGGTTTAGAACTTATTACTAGGCTTAAATCAAGGATAATGTAGCATGTCTAAATTTCCAATTGCTTATTATGGAAATTTTGTAATTTCTCTGACAGCCCGATTTAAATAATAATTTTGCAATTTTAATGTCAACTTTCTTGTTTCCCATCGACTTTTTCAATGCTATGTACTGGTTTTGTCGTTGACATCGGAAATATTATGTAGTTTTTTTGTATGAATTATGTAAATCTGCTGATCTACTACAAACTTATTATAATCATTATGTTGAGCTGTTGCTCCACTACAAGTGATATGTAAATGATTTGGTTTGATATGATTAGTATTCAGAGCTGGGTCTTGTTTAGAAGAGACATTGGACATTTGTTTTATTATTTGTGGTGGGTATGGTTGTTTGTTTGTGGTTTTTCTTGTGGGCATAGCAAGATTAGGTAAGAAAGTAAAATTGCAAAAAAAATTTTGAAGGTTTTCATGATTAATATGTAAATCTGTAGCTTTGCTATATAGTTATATATTTATATTACAAATTGTTTATTTTGGTTTTTCTTTGCTAAAGATTGCTTTAGTAAATGGTAAAGCTGAGTCTGCTATTTATTGTAAGGGTACGCTATGAGTGCAAGGGTAGGGGAGGGAGAAATGTAGGAGACGGTTGTGATAGCGGTAGGACAGGTAAGGGTGTATCATTTAAGGGTACAGTGTGAGAGGAACAGCATACCATGAAGTAGGGTAAAGTAAGTTATTGTATAGTAGAGTAGGGTAGGGTAAAGTAGGGTAGGGTATGGTAGGGTAAGGTAGTGTAGCCTAGGTTACCTCTTTCTTTCTCTTACTTGGCCGTTTGTTTTTGCCAGCGTTAATAATCGTGATTCATTTTTTTAAATTTTTATAAAATTAAAAAAAAATTTTATGTTTTACAATTTTAAATTTCAGGGGTAACAACAAAAAGCTTCAAAAACCATTCAAACTTGCACAAGCTACACTCCACCAGATTTGCAATGTTAGCGTCGTCGCAAAAGTCGCAAACGCCTCAAAATCCACCCCCGAACTCACAAATAACCGCGGCTCAACTTCAAGCTCTAGCTATGGGTTTGGCCGCGCCTTTGCCTGGTTTTGCTTCTCCACCTTCGCTTCTACAAAATATGGCAGCCAAGAATGGGCAAAAACAACATTGCTATCTCTGTGATTATCCGAGAATGCCTTGGGCAATGTGCCATGACTATGCTGAGGTTGTTTGTCGAGGGTGCGTGAACTACGAGGGGGCTGAGAAGTAGGTTTTTAAATGTGTTTTAAACCTATTTATTGGTTTTTTGAAGTCGTTTCTAAGCCTAAGGTTTGACCGTTGAGCCTAAATTTCTTCTTAACTGCATTTTCAAGCCTAAGGGGCCTTTCTAAGTTTAAATGTCTACTTTTAAGCCTAAAATTTATTTTTATAACTAAATTTTATGTTTTAAGGTTCATTTTTGAGCCTTGATTTGATTTTTAAGCCTATGGTTTATTTTTAAGCCTAAAATTCATTGCTGAGCATGAATTTCGTTACTAGGCCTAAAATAATTACTACTTTTATAGGATTGAAGCCGTAATCGAAACAGCTCGCAAAATGAAGCAGATCCACGAAGTGACTTCTCAACTCGAAGTCTCCTCAAACTCATCAACCTCTCCACCCATCCACAACAACAACAACAACCCACCCAAGCCTATGAAAGAATCTCCGAAACCCCAACCTAAACCTACTGTATTCCCACAAAATACGGTACCATCAGTACTACCCCAACTGCCCAACCTGGCACAATTTGGTCAAGACTTCTACGCCCAACAACGATTATTAGGTATGACAAGAAGTTTGGCCAATGGACAAATTGACGATTTGCAAATGGCGCAACTCCGGCAACTTTTGCCGTTTTTACCACAGCCTTTGTTGGGAAATGGACTGCCTAATGCTACGAATGGCTTTGCTAATTTGGGAAGTTTGCCAATGGTGAATAGGAAAAGGAATCATACTGATGAGGTTAAGAGTGATGTGTATTCGAAATTGCATAAAGGTAAGAAGTTAAGAAATTTTTTTTTATTTTTTAAAATTTGAAACTAAACAAAACAAAAAAATCAGAAACAAAAAATTCAAAATCGTTAAAAATTTTTAGATTACAATTTTACTTTTTCGTAAGCCTAAATCTTTTTAAGCAAGAGTTTTATTCTTCAACCAAAAATTTGAGCATTTAAGCCTAGAATACTGATTTAAACTTCAGATTTATTTTAAAGCTTGGCATTTCATTTTTAAGCCTAATTTTTACTTTTAAGCCTAAGGTTTATTTTTAAGCCTAAATTTTATTTTTAAGCGTAGAATTATATTTTGTTGCTTAAATTTTATTTTTAAGTCTAAGGTTTTGTTTTTAAGCCTAGAATTTATTTCTAAGCCTAGAATTATATTTTTTAATTTAAATTTCTTTTTAAGCCTACATAGCATTTTTAAGCCCAATGTTCTTTTTAAGCCTAAATTCAAGTTTTAGGCTTAGAATTCATTTCTAAGCCTAAAGTTTCACTTTTAAGCCTCCTTTTTATTTTTAAGCTTAAATTTTATTTTGGAGCCTAGAATTCATTTCTAAGCCTAAAATTTCACTTTTAAACCTAAATTTCATTTTTAAGCCTAAACTTTCATTTTTAGGCCTAATTTTACTTTTAAACTTAAATTTTATTTTTAAGCCTGAAGTTTCACTTTTAAGTCTAAACCCTCACTTTTAAGCCTAAAATTTGATCTTTAATGCTAAAATCAATTTTTGTACAAATTAACAACCTTAAAATAAACTGTACTGTAAGCCTTGACAACCGGTTTGAATTTGCAGTAAATTTTACATTTTTTACACAACACCCGTTCCGATTCGCACCATGCACTTTTTTCTTAAAGGGCAAAGAAACATTCTTCCATTTTTTGTCTATCACCAAACAAATAACCTTGTAATGTACAGTAACTTGAAAAGAACCCAGCGATGGCTGAATGCCAAACTTTCTTGCTACGACCTTGTCAATGGAGGTGGCAAAACATAAATTTTCCGAAATTTACGGTTTTGGCACACCGCGGGAGGCTTGATTTGCATAGGTTTTGACCTTTGGGTTTAAAATGACTTTATAGGCTTAAAATAGGAATTTTAAGCTCAAAAATGAAACTTAAGGCTTAAAATTGAACTTTTGGCTTAACAATGAGTTTTAGGCTTATTAATGAAGTTTAGGCTTAAAAATGAAACTTTAGGCTTAAAAATGAAATTTAGGTTCAAAAATAAATTTTAGGTTTCAAAGTTAAACTACAGGCTTAAAAACGCAACTTTTGGCTCATAAATGAAGTTTTAGGCTTATAAATGAAATTTTAGGCTTAAAACTAAAAATTATGTTGAAGAACAATTATTAAGCTTAAAAACAAGTTAGGGCTTGAGGATGAATTTTTAGGTTTAAAATGTTAAAACTAAGCGTAGAAACTAGAGTTTAGGCTTGCACTTATATCATGCTTGACAAGCACAATCCGCACAGGTATAGCAAGGCACATGGCAGAGAACCGCAATTCCCTGTTTCAGGTAGAGTATAACATACTCTGCCCTGTGTTTTAAACTGAGTAAAAATCAAGCGTAGTTTCATCATAGCTCGCTGATAACTACCTCTATCTCTAGCTGGAAACCTCTATCTTCAGCTGGCAATAGTAACAACTCTAGATGACAATAGTACTAACTCCAAATTACAATAGTACCAACTACAGAAGAGTATAGTACTAAACATTGGTACTATTGTCAGCTGAAGGTCTCGTACGTAGCCCTCGAATTAAACCGGGTCAGAGATTAAAGACGTCGCGACCCACCGGTGGCGGCGGAAAAACCGGTTTTCCGCACAAATTTTGTTGTTTTTTGAGGGCTCCGGAACGGTCGGCGCTTCTTCTTTCTTTTCGGAATTGTGACCTGGAAAGAGGCGAGGTCGCGCCGGCCGCCTGGTACGACTCGGTACAGGAAAAAATTTAAAAAAAAATTTGTAACCTTGTTGCAATTACTTGCTCTTCTTTCTTTCTGCTTCATCGTGATCAAGAAAAACCATATGATTCGAAAACAAGTTAAGCGGTTTGTTACTGTTAGACGCACTGAAATTTTACTGTAAAATGGCTTGTTGTGGATGGTGGAACTGTAAAAGGCTTGTTGTAGATGGTGAAATATCAAAAAATGTTGTAAGCAGAGAAATTTGTATAATTTAATGGCACACGCACAGAAGTGCAAAATAGTACATGTAAACAAAAGTAGACTTCTAAAAGGCCAGGCTGAGATGGACCGGTCTTTTTACAGGTTTTTCTTTTAGGTATATTCAAAAAAAAATTTATATTAACGTGGTCCAAATCTTAACATTTCTTGAACTTTTGGACTATAATTTAAAATTTTAAGATATTTTGGACCAAATTTAAAACTCCATGAACTTTTGGACCAAAACTTAAAATTCTAAGAACTTTTAGATCACAGTTTAAAGTTCCATGAACTTTTTGACCAAAACGCAACTTATAAACTAAAACTTGAAAATTGCAAGTTTTTCGCACTATGCTACGTATAAGTCATCCTTTATGTGTATGTTGTATGATAACAACGATAAAGACCAAAATTGTTTCATTTCTCTCCAAAAATGTGATAAAACTTCTCAAATTACATTAAGATTGATCTGATAGAGAAACTCGATTGTAAGACAAGTGTTTTTTAGGCAAAAAAACTTATCAAAGTCCAATTTTGTGAAGGTTAAACACATGATGTAATAAATAACATGTGATTAACTACTGCCAGTTAGTTTTTGAGGATGGAAAAATGAAGAAAATGTAACGAAAAAATAAAAAAGTATTTTATCGTAAAATATAAAGGTTAGTGCTAGGTATATGGCTAGACTTAGGGCTAGGGCTAAAGCTAACGAAATTTTTTTTATTTTTTGAAATTTTACAAAAAAAATGAAAAAAATATTATCCAACCTCTAGACCCTTCCTTTTTAGCTGACACCACCGCTTTCTCCCCAACCAGCCCTCAAAACGCAGTCCGGCCCCAGCCCCTACCATCTTCTCAACCCATCTACCGTTGTGTTGGCTGTAACGAGCGGCTAGAGGACACTCACTTCGTCCAATGCCCTTCGGTATCTCAACACAAGTTCTGCTTCGACTGTTCCAAGAACGCCATCAAGAAACAGGTTGGAACAGCCGAAATATATTGTCCTAGCGGTGAGAGATGCCCACTTCAAGCCAGTAAATTACCGTGGACATTTATGGCCAATGAAATCAACACGATTCTTGGTGATGATTATGTAAAGTTTGCGTTGGAGCGAGAACAGCTGGGATTGCTACCAGCCGGCTTGGGTATGCCGCAGACAAGGCAAGGGGCTGGAGTTTCGAGCAGTTCAAATGGGCAGAGTACCAGTTTGTCCAAGGATGGAACGGCCGAAACTTCACGGTCGTCCAGTGTGTCGGCGTTGAGCTCACCGAACAGTACTGGTGGTAGTCAACTTCATTCGGCTGCTAAGGAATAGATTTTTTATGAAAAATTGAGTTTTTAACCTTTATATCATACTTTTTGGTCGTTTTTATATTACTACGTATATGTATGTTTAAAATTCTTATATTTTTACGGTTTTTGTAAGCCTATTTTTCTAACTTTTTCATTTTTTTCTACAGAACTTGGTTCAAGCTAAAAGCTGAAGTCAAATCCACAAGGAAAATCCTCGGCCTGCCCGTTCTGGTTGACTTCAAGCTTTTTACATAGATAGATTATGTAAATATAAGATCTTCAGCAATGTACTAAATCTCGCTTTCTAGAAATCTCGAGAAAATCAAGATTAAAAAGTTATTTTTGAATTTTCCGCCAAATTGGCATTGTGTTTCACGCTTACAATTTTGTCGTTTTTTGACTTTTAATTATTTTTCTTTGATCTGCTAGTAGGAAATCTTTAAATGAACCTACATTTTTAAATTTGTAAGCGTAGGTTGGCTGAAAAGTCGAAAAAAATGCTTGAAATATAATGCCAAGTTTTCTAAGTTTGTGGGAAACTCAATTATTTAAAACTCAAAAGCGCAAGCTAAAATTTTTTATGGATACTATTGGTTTTAAAAGAAATTTATATAAAGATTTTGAGCTAATTCATAGCGGGGCAGGTTGGGTACTTTTCTTGTAAACTCGGCTTCACTTTTTTTGGTTTGCCCAAGTTTGGTCTTAAAATATGCCTTTTTTAAGATATTTTTCAAATTGTAAATACTTTTTTTATTTTATAAGGCCAAAAAGTTTATGACATTTTCACTTATCACTTATTAATACTATTAAAAACTGTTTTTTATGTAAGTTACTTTTAATAATGTCTTTTTTTAATTGGTGAGTACAAGTGCATTTATTCTGTTTTTTCCAAAATATGATCCAACTTTTTCAAACTCTTTCTAAAACCATCAAAATTATCTTAAAGTTTGTTTATATGCTGACAATATTCTTGTTTTGTTACCTAAAACCTTAATTTTTAAAATTTGCCTTTCTTTAACTTTTTTTAAATTTTAAAGCCGAAAATTTAAATTGGCTTAAACTGAGATCTCTGCTTAAAAAACTTGTGATTTTGCGTTTTGTATTCAAATAAATATTGTTTTACATGACTGTACTTGGGTAATTGCTTTCGATAATACAAAAACGTTGTGACAATAATCAGAATTTAATTTGGCTGGCACAGAAATGCAATTTTAAATGAATTTAGCGAGAAATGGCAACAATTATAGTGCTGATAACGGTACTTAAAACTGTAATATGACATTTTTTTGTTTGTGAGTGGATTTTAAAATGTTTTTGAAAGCTATGAAAGGGACTAATAAATTTTTGCTAAAAATTAGTTGGTAAACGGGAGGGGGCAGAGCTTGGAATTTTATGTTTTTCAGGTGTTAGTGGAGCAGGAATAAAGTAGGGTAGGGTAAAAGGGGACAAAGTAAAACCGTAGGGTGAAATAAAGCAGAGTAGGGTAGGGTAGCTAGAGGTAGGTTATATATGATATATTTTACCTATTGGATTCATATACCAATCGGAATCTTCAATTAGGTTTTTGTAATGTTTTAGCTTTAAGGGTTACCAATTACAGAACAATCACATCAAAACTGTTGTATTCAAATTAAATATCTACGTCAAGAAAATGTATAGTACCTCTTGAATGTTACTATTTAGTTTCAAATAAAAAAAGCAATTTTTATTATAACTTTAGTACTGCCACAGCAAGCAAGTCATTTTTTGTACTAGCCAAACTAAAACTGTTCTTAAATTTTTAAACTCGAATTTACTGTAATATTAATTGTATCTTTAATTTCACTATTCTAGTATTGCTTTTATAATGTTAAAGTAAAACAAAATTGTCTTATAAATTATTGTATGCTAACTACAAAAATGTTATTTAACGTGTAGACAAAAACTATGAATTTATAGCGTTTGCAGGCAGTTTTATACGTGTACGGTGTAATAGCAGTATATATCTAAAGTGTAATAGTAATTTAAGCTCTGTATTATCAAGTCTGAGTTTTGCTGTAGTAAACAATAAACGTCAATCTATTTGTGTTTGATATAAGAAGTATCATACTGTTATTTTGCTTACTTTTTCATTACTATATATTAGTTTTTCTTGAAAAGTAGTATAAAAATAAAGCTACGGTATTCTACTATAAAACATAAGAATTATAAGTAGAGGTAAAGTAAGTGCTAGGTTTAAAGCTAAGGCTAGAGCTGGACCTAGAGATAAAGCTAAAACTAGAACTAGAACTAGAGCTAGAACTAAAGCTAGTGTTAGCTCTGTGCTAGAGTTATAGGTTAGGGCTCTGGGCTTAAACTCTAAACTAGGGAACTGGGCTAAATTTAGGTATAGGACTAGGGCAAAGACGGAGCTAATGTAACGTCTACATACCGTATGTTTGAGTATGATACTATGTAGTACTTCTTAGTATCATAATGAAATACACTGCCTCAGTACTATTATTACTGTATGTTTTCGAACTTTATTATTATAGTTGCCATCAAAATAAAAGTTGTGGGTATGGCATTGTGACGGTGCGGATTTAAAAATTTATGCGTTAAACAATGTTTTCGTTATAAAGGAGTTTGTTATACAAAATTTTCATTGTAATGTCAAGTCACAGTAACATCTCAATTATTTCTAATTAAAAATGCTGAAGACAACCCCACTGAAACTCGTTGTACCGCCAAATATCATTTTTTATTGTAGTATATACAAAACAAACAGATTGTAGCCTTTCCTCGTATAACCTTACAGTTCTTGCTAATACTCATTGAACGCACGTAAATACTCATAATGCAAGACGGTTTTTGTAACCTAACTACTACAACATTGTTGTCTAATGTGAAAAGTCTGAGAAACTTAATATTGTGTTCAAGCTTATGTATTCTTCTTACTTAGAACAAATATAATAATATTAAAGGCTTAGTTATTCGTGCAAAAAAACTCATTTCACAAACACATAGATACAGTAGGTTTCTTAGTTATAGACGGCTAGGACCTATTGAGAGATTTCGGTCTAGGGGCATGGCCTGAAAGTCAGTGCAGGTTAGACATGAAAGGGGTGTCATACAAATTGATTTAAAAACTACAGTACTATCTCTACATAAGCAACCTATAAGGATTAAGATTTTGTGTTTACTATAGAGGGTGTTGCCTTTACAGAGTGATTTTTAGTGCAATTTGAATTCTCGAGACCAAATTTCTTGTTTACCATAATAAGAGTTTCTTATAGAGATGGTTCACTATATAGAGAGACTTTATTTACTTGATAATATTTTTCAAATAGTGCTTGAAATTTAAATTGTTTAAGTATTGGATATTTAGAGCCCTCAGGCAATAAAATACAAGTTTACCCAGTTATTATCATACATTTTTACTGAATTTAAGAGGTCTGATCGGGCCGTAACAAACTTGAAAAAGAACCAACTAAACCGGCACACGCCGGCCCTAGAGCCAAAACTCAAACATAGGCTCCAGAAAATGGGCTTCTACTCTCACACCTTTACAGGTTTGATACAAGTAAACAACAACAATTTTTTCCTTTTTTTGTTTTTTTATGCGCGGCTTTGTAAACGACATAACACATTTTTTTGTTTTAGAGATTACATTATTCTGATTTATTGTAATATTAATATTGACAAAAAAAATATTTTTAACTATGATCTTTTTCTTTGCTTTTGACTCTCCTCACCACACAATTTAAAAAACAGTTTTTTTAGCACTGTAGTTGAATACAGTATTTAAATTTGATTAAAATTAAATTGTGAAATGTTTTTAAAAACTAAAGTTTATCACGTAGCCTTGTAGCCACTTCTAAAATCATTCATTGGCAATATGATGACGTTTAAAAATTTACAACAATGTGACTTGTTGTATACTGCGAGACATAGTCTTAAAAGGTCGAACAATAGTTTGAACTATATTTAATACTTTTGAATCTTTTTAGTTGCGTTTTGGCCGCTTTTTGCGTGCACCAGACAGAATGGCATTGTCGCAGGAATGTTACAACAATTTCTTTCCTCATTACCATATTCTTTTACTTTGTAGGCTTACTCGTTACTCTGTGACTATACTCTTATATTCTGTGAGCTTAATCGATTTTTTGCCATCGTACTCTTTTAATCTGTTAGTATACTGTTTTACTTTAAGACTATACTGTATTACATTTTTATCATACCCTGTTACTCTATTACCATACTTTTTACCTTATTACCGCCTTTTTTATTTTCAATACAACCCTTTTTTTCATATTACTATAGCTTTTTTTCCAGATATTACAACAAACACAACATACTGTAAATTAATTTAAATTTTTAAAAGTTCATCTAAAGTACCTTTCATAGCAAAAGGATTTGAATGTTACGTAGTTTGCAATGCGTTAAAATACTGTGGCTTATGGAATGCAGAAATTTGGTATAAATACACAGACAGTTTAGATTGTAGTTTACATGGTAAATTTGGAACGTGCTTTCGTTTGTGGCATTAATGTTGTGGGTATTATTGAATAGAAAGTTTTGTAAATATTTTAAATAATTTTTTGAAATTTTGTTAGAAATTACAAACTTAAAATAAGAAAAATTGAAAAATTTGTTTAAATATTACGTCTTAAAAAAATGATAAATCTTATTCGCTTTTCAACGCAAGTTATATAACTGAGAGGTGAGAGGAGACGGTGAGGGTTGGTCGAATACTGTCAGAGCAATCTATTGTAACTGTTTTTAATAGGGCCTCTATCCAGGTGAAATTGTTTTTTAAGTTACCGAGTTGTGATGTGCTGTTCTTCAAGGCTTCTAATAAGATGCTTTTCAAGCCTTAAGGCCGTAGTCAAAAGCCTGTGTTGAACAGAACGTAACAAGTTTTATAGGTTATGTTAATATTGTTTTGTAAATTTTTACGTTGACATTGATATTTATGGCAGAGTTAACGTCTTTTGCAGGTCTAGTTGCAATAAACTTTATTTAGTATTAACAAGAAAAGCAACCTACCTGCCCCGCTCAGAA